CTTGTTGTGGTCCCGGTCGACGTCCTGCCTCGGCCCTGTCTGTTGGCGCCACTTTAAATTCTCGCGATCTCCTCTCGTCTCGCGGGCACAGGAAAGCTCGTTTGGGATGAACGGAGCCTTCCCTAAGACCCCTCCCCCCTTAGTTACTGTTGCTATGGTGTCAGCTTCACCGCCAACTCTCCGAGTGTGTGGAGTGATAATGTGCATAAACACCACAGACGGAGTGATGACGATGAACAGGAGACACACCCCTTTTAATTCTGCACCTCGAGTGTGACCTGAAACTGATTCCAACAACAGCAATCACTTTCCGGCAACGTTACGGTAATTAATTAGGGACAGATTCCAACATTAGCACAGCACAGGCCGCCGAGGACAGACCTTTAATCCTGAAAGTCACTTTTCTACCTTTTATAAAAATGCATGAATTTGATCATTCTTAAAACAATAATTTAAACATGGACACGTGTTAAAAACAAAAGTGATTCCCACAGTGAAACTACATTATTGAACACCTGCAGTACCTCTCACAGACCAGCAGAGGGCGGCAGACCACAGGTAGAAAACCTCTGAGACAAGACACTGAACATCCCACGACATAAATCCTCTTGTTCTGAGCTGAAACAGTGCAGGAGGATTCAGTTCATATTCAAAGAGGTCCAGAACATTATATTATCAATATAATAATATACTAATAACTGAAAGTAGTAACTATAAGCTGATTCTGATGCAGTAAAATGTCTCTTCCTGCTTTGAATGCATTCATGTTTTTATCTGTTTTATTTATATTTCATATTCAGTCTCTGAACTGTTTCATCTTGTCGTCTATGATCATTTCTATGCTGATGACACCCAGTTATTTATTCGTCTACAGCCCCCGGATCCTAGCGGCCTCCTGACTCTGGCCTTTCTGACATTAAACCCTCCCACACACAAAGTAACATGTAATTTCCATATATAAATGATGTTTATAAATATATTTAAGGCTTTAAATGGCTCCACCCCCGTTTTATCTCTGATTTCTTGACATAGCTTGTGTCACACCAACAGAGGTCCTGCTGGGTCGGGGTTTGTGATGCTCTCCTGAAGCAAATCAGACGCTGTGACTCTTTAACTTCCTTTAAATCTCTTCTTCAAACACGTTTCTTTGTCTCAGCCTCTGGTGACGTCTGATACGTGTTTCAATGTTATTGTTTTTATATATTTTACGTCTTTTACTGTCAGATCTTTTTTCATAATGATGATTTGAGATGTTTTTATGTTGCTCAGGTGCTTTGGACTTTTCTTTTATCTGGTTTTACCATGTTGTAACTCTATTAAGAAAAGTTCCATAAATAAAGTTATTATCATTATTATGACTCATCTGAGAACGCCGCTGATTAAACCTGTTACCGGTTGTTCTTGTTGCTCAGAAACTCGGCACAGAGTCCAGAGGTAACAGGAAACAAAATGGTGCCAACACAGAGACAATAAAGACCCACCTCCAGAGACTCGTCATCAGCCCTGAGGGCGACAGCAGCTGAAATACTTCCTCCACATCTGAATTCAAAACAGTCTCATGGTTGAGTTACAGGAGGAGGAGGCGGGTTTGAACCTGCTGACGGATCAAATAAAACCTGATCAGACGGCTCAGTAAAGATGGAGGCTGATGCTTGTTTATTCTAACACAACATTTCCTCTTTCTAAGATAATTATTCATTGAATTTAATTGTTTATAGTCAGTTTTAAAACACGTTAAAACTATATTATAAAACAGAGAATTCCCCTGAATCCCAGAACACTTTCACTTTTGAATCCTGTGACTCATCGGAGAGATGACAGATTAAGCTCCTCCCACACAGAGAAACATCATGTGACCTCCATAAACAAATGTGTGAGTTCCACATCGCAGTGACTTTGATTCAAGTGACAGTAGAACTGATAGAAAACAGTGAGCATGTTCGTATCGGCTGCGTCTGGACGTAGATCTGAGGTGAACAGAACCTACAGCTACAGCTCTCATACTGAACAGAACCACTATAAAACAGCAGCTGCTCAGGTGTGCTGGTTCAGATCACACCTGCAGCAACATGTTCAACAGCTCCAACTGCTTTTAGCTCCACGAGAGAGAAAGAACCAGCAACGACTTCTGCTCATCATCCTCATGAAGAAACAGACACACAGGTTATATTACAATACTGTATGAACATTTATTAACACAGAAGAGTTAATTATTATTATTTACATTTCACACACTTTATCATAATGAGACGTAAACGTCTGAACAGCTGGTGCTTCTGCTGCTGAGTCCAACAGATACAACCAGGAAATAAAGCAGCTGTAACCAACAGAACAGATCCTGACTTCATTTCCCAGAGTCACCTGGTCCCTGAGCTCATGAACTCCTGACCTGGCGCAGGTTAACTGTCAACTGCCAAACTACTGACCAATCAGACACCTGGAAACACTGAGGCATCATTCCTACAGGATCCTGACAGGGACAAAAGAGTTCACAATCAAGTGATCAATAACAACGATCAGTAGATAGAACATATAAATCAGAGGAATAGTTTTCCTGTTTGAGTTTATCACTAAATAAAATCTAGTCACTGTCAGAGCTTCATTTGATTCTTTAATGGAGGATTCAGTGATGAAGCTTTTACTCTCCTCTTCATCACTGAGCTCAGACCAACACGAGGAGACTGTGACACGACTGGAGAGAAACCTTCCTCTCTCTCACCTCCTCTTCCTCTCCTCCTCTCTCACTCTCCTCCTCCTCTTCCTCTCCTCCTCCTCTTCTTCTCCTCTTCCTCTCCCTCTCATCCTCTTCCTCTCTCTCTCTCCTCTTCCTCTCCTCCTCTTCCTCTCTCCTTCTCTTCTCCCTCTCCTCTTCCTCTCCCTCTCACCTCCTCTTCCTCTCCTCTCTTCCTCTCTCTCTCTCTCTCCTCCTCTTCCTCTCCTCTCTTCCTCTCTCTCTCTCTCTCCTCCTCTTCCTCTCCCTCTCCTCCTCTTCCTCTCTCACTCTCCTTCTCTTCTTCTTCTCCTCCTCCTCTCTCTCCTCTTCCTCTCCTCCTCCTCTTCCTCTCCTCCTCCTCTTCTTCTCCTCTTCCTCTTCCTCTCCTCCTCTTCCTCTCTCTCTCCTCTTCCTCTCCTCCTCTTCCTCTCTCTCCCCTCTTCCTCTCCTCCTCTTCCTCTCCTCCTCCTCTTCTTCTCCTCTTCCTCTTCTTCCTCTCCTCCTCTCCCTCTCCTCTTCCTCTCCTCTTCTCCCTCTCCTCTTCCTCTCCCTCTCACCTCCTCTTCCTCTCCTCTCTTCCTCTCTCTCTCTCTCTCCTCCTCTTCCTCTCCCTCTCCTCCTCTTCCTCTCTCACTCTCCTTCTCTTCTTCTTCTCCTCCTCCTCCTCCCTCTCTCTCCTCTTCCTCTCTTCTCCCCCCCCCCCCCTCTTCCTCTTCCTCTCCTCCTCTCCCTCTCCTCCTCTTCCTCTCCCTCTCCTCTTCCTCTCTCTCTCCTCTCTCTCTCTCCTCTTCCTCTCCTCCTCTTAGGAAAAAGAAACAGGTGTGTAGTGGGCGGAGTCACAAAGGTCAAACTCTTTCTCCTGAAGGTTCAGAGTCTGAGCGGCTTCATGATCAGAGCAGAGGAAAGGAGCTTCACTGCTTCCTTCCTTATCTCCTTTAGGAAACAGAAATGCCGTCCCACAATTCCTTGCTGCAGCAACATTTAAAGTGACACTGCAGCTTCACCTGAGCTGAGCCTCTTAAATCAACACAGGAGTCAGAAACAGGAAATACATACAAACCAAATGAACCAGGAGTGATGTCAGTCTGACCACACCTCCCAGGTAGAGTCCTGCTCCAGGTGTGGACAGGTTCACTTGTTGTCATGGGAACAGAATGTCTCTGTATGTGTCTCTTCATTTCCACCAGTGGATCAGTCACAGAGCAGAAGCTTCTCTCTGATGGAGTTTGTTCATCTGAACTTTATGTCTCTGTTTCCTTCAGACTCTGATTCTTTTCTTCTTCATGGATCAGAGAGAAACAGGAAACAGGAAACAGATCAGAGACTCTTCACACCTGCTGAGGATCAGCTGCTCTATCAGCAGGTTCATATGAAGGCTGCTCTGTGGATCGTCTACGTTTCCTATAGATCATAAAACCACCACCACCAACAACAACAACAACAACAACAACAACAACAACAACAACAACAACAAACAGACCGACTCCCAGTCCAACATGTAGACCCTTGTCTCCTCTCTCCTTGTCTCCTCCCTCCTCCCTCCTTCTCTCCTCTGTGATACCTGCAGAGAGAAACAGGTGTGAGGTGTCAGCTGTCAGGTAGGTGATGAGACAGACATTATCTACTGCACTTTGGTCACATGACTCAGACCAGCTGTTCTCTACAAAGTCTCAACAACAACATCTGGAGAAAACACAAACATCTGGTCTGTGATGGTTCACTCTCACATCAACAACCAGGAAGCAGCTCTGACTCACCTGCATCTGTAACTGTCAGGGTGATGTTACTGATGAGCTGAGGACGACTTCCTTTTTTTCCAACATGACACTCGTATCTTGCAGCGTCGTTGATGGTGACGTTCTTCAGAATCACAGAGACGTCTCCGTCCTTCATGT